ACTTAATATATATAAATATATAAATATACATACACACCTAATATATAAATACATATATATATATATATATATATATAAAATATATATAAATATATATATAAAAATATATAATACAACTATACCTCATCTAAAAGCTCCCATCCACACTGGGAACTGTCACCACTTCCAGCTCCCTGACCACATCCTGGGACTGCACAACCTGTGCCATACTGGGAGGGTCCACATCCCACTCCAGTGCCAAGGAAGCAGGTACTTCCCAGCCATGGCACTGCCAAAGGGGGCACAAGGCTGGAGGGTGAAATGATCTCAGCCTTCCATAAAACGTAACCTCCCATGGTCTGTGCAGCTCCTGCAGTGATCCCAAGGCTCAGGGGAAGGCCTTGTCTCACAGTGAGACTCAGCTCAGCTCGACTTCAAAGCCCAAGAGCACTTTTTGTGAGAGAGGGACAAGCGGGGAGGGGGAGGGAAAAGCTCATCCCAAAGGAACGGCTCGGGATCCACAGCGAGGCCGAAACATCCGTCTGCCGAGATGGATAATTAAACACTCACATTTAGACAAATGAATAGGTGAGAATGAAATTAAATTCTCATTATCTTTTTTTTTTTTTTGGGGGGGGGGGAAAGGAGGGAGGGACAGGGAGCAGAACCGACACTCGTTCCACTGAGCTGGGCCGTTATCACCAATTAGATTTCTGAGCCTAATGTACATCTTGTTTGAACAGGTTATTCATCCAATTGAAATCAAATTACTAATAATTTGCAAAGTATCGCCTACACAAGCCTGTCCTTGGGTTGTATGAAGAGTGGTGAGCAGGAGCCAGTCCCTTACAAATTAATAACAGAAAAGGAGGAGGGGAGGAAATAAAATCCACAGTCGGGCAAGTGAAGGTGCTGCAGCTGCTGCTTCTCTGCCACCTCCTCACCCACCTGAGGGCTTGGACATGGTGTTAAGTGTTAAGTGTTCCATAAAAATGACCAAATGACCACAGGAACAGCTCCCTGCAGAGCCTGGTCAGCAGGGAGGGGGGCCCGATGGGGAATTCACTACCTGCTGCTTCAGGAGGGGCTGGAATGTCAGGGTTTGGCTTGGGCAAAGAATTAAAACACAAAAAAATACTAACAGGAAGGTCAGAGGCTATTCAAGGCATCTCTGGAGCCTCCACTGGAATGAGAATCCAGCCCAGAAAAGCAAGTGGCAGAGCTGGCAAAATAATGGGAGAGCAGCTCGAATAGTTTTTAATTTTTAAGTTGTTTCCTTCCCTGTCATTTCTCTTTTACTCCAGCGGTCCCTGCAACATTTCAACACCAGGGAAGGGGCCAGCAGTGAGTCAGGTGTCTCCCTGACGTCCTGTCACCCTCATTCCCAGCTGAGCTCGTGCATTATGGCCAACCAGCTCCCTGTGCTGTCCCAGGTACACACTGCAGGAATCCAGGGACCCAGACACATCCTATGGAGTGTGGGGAACGCTGGGCAGCACCCAGCTACAGGAACAGGTCATTACTACCAGAAAAACCCATTACAGCATCAGCTCTTATCCACAACGGTCCCTTCCTACTCCCCCTTAATTATAAGGCCAACACTTCCTTTGGATGGAGTTTGTCTGAACCTCTCAATTTTCTAGGCCACAGAGAAGAGAAAAATATTGACGAGGTTTTCCCACATCCTCTGGTTTAGAAGTCTGACCTGAAGGGACAGCGCTGGCAAAAGGGAGAATGGAGGAATTTCTGTACAATGGGCACAGCCCAACACCACCAGGATTGCTGGGAATTCAACATGCCCCGGGTGCCACCACCGTGCATGGAAACACGGAATTCACAGTGCTGCAGGGAAGCAGCTTGGGAAGATGGACCTGCAGGTGCCATTCTGCTGGATGCTGGGTCAGATGGACAGAGCTGGCCCCTCTCTCCTCCCTGCTCTTCACAATTATCACTGTCTCAGCTTCCAGAGTCTCCCTCTATCCATGTCAGGCTATTTTAAGGCAGCCACCACCATTAAGAAGCTCGTGCAGGCAATGAGCAGGAGTTCAGGAAACCTCACCCAGGATGGCTGGAAGAATGGCCCTACTACAGCAAGAACTTGGACTTGGGGCATCTGGGTTATTCTCCACCATAGAACTGATGTCACACACAGGGAGACATGGAGAGCAGCCAAGAGCACTTGTGGGTCAAGGTTTCATTTCCTTTCACTCTTACACTTCACCTTTCTTGCAGGTCTTTTATCTCCCTCCTAGACAGGAGGGATTTCTTACTGTTTATTACATTTTGTCCTGAAGCATCCCTGAGAAGTGAGTAGCCATTTTCTCTCTCTCTTCCCCCTCAAATCCATGTCCTCATTAGGTCAGTGACACGCTTCCTGGCACTCTGGACCAAGTCCAGCCTTTGCTTCCCAGAGGGATCTTTAATATATTT